GATTACTTTTTTAAAAATAACCTTATTTATTATTTCAAAATAATCCATGGACTATGAATAACGGATATTTATTTCCGTTATACGATATAATATCATCTAACATAGATCAAATAAGACGATATATTTTTAAAAGTACTCAGTAAAAAACAATTGGTTTTTTTGTTGTTGATTAAAATTGTTTATTGAAATCGTATTTTTTACTTTTTTGAATGTACATATTTATATGTTTTGTATTTTAGATTTTTATACAGAATTATTTTACCGTAACTACATGTGTATTTTATAGATATTGATTATTATAATATATATTTATCACAATATATATTTTGAACTAACAAAATTGTTTTTTTTTTATCTCTCCGAAATGTTAAATTCAAAACAATCCAGTGTGAATTGTAACTATTTTTACGTAATAAAATACTGCACTTAAATTATCAAAAACAGTAAACGATACAATGTTTTCAAACACTAATGCAGTGGTACAATTGGATAAAAAATATGGGATGGGATAAAATAATATATTATAATTTAAAAATTGACGTTTTTGAAAATGTTTTTCACACTTTTTCAAGTCGTTAAATACAATATTTTTCTAAAAAAGTATATTTATAACTATTTCGTATCGTCATTTAATACAAATTTTTTTTTTTAAATGACAACTTGCATTTGGAATACTTTATTGCATAAAAATCGAATTTTCGAAGAGTAGGTAGTTAAATGCATACTCATGAGTATTTAAAGATTTAATGAACGGGATGGAGTGGAGTGGTACCGAGTTACTTCGAAAAATGTTGCTTTTACTACTCTGCAGCTCATTAATAATTCGATTTCAGAATATGAAGTTAAAAATATATTTTATTGTTATCATTCAAAATATGGTATATTTTAATTACTGTATTTTTCATAAGAAACTTGAAAAACAATAGCGATAAGAAATTGTGAAAAATATTTTTTTCAAACTTGTTGTTTTGTTACGACTTAAAATTATGTAAAATAAATTAAATGAGTATCTAACGTGAATGGGATCTTCTCGTATTAAATATTATTTATATGCGTATAGCTTATTCGTATTTACAACATAACTGCAGGGCGCAAATACACTACACTTTCACAGCTTCCCTCAATAACCAGACGGCACCAAGTCTGTTTATACAGACATATTTATACAACAATATTATAGTATTATTATTATTATTATTATTATTATCATTATTATTATTATTATTATTATTAATATTATCATTATTACTACTATTACTATTATATCGACAAACGTACGCTGACCCATTTTCGTCGGAAGCCGAGAGGAGCTGCTCCTATGTAGGATAGCTACACCGTGCGCGTGTGTGTGTGCGCGTGAGTGTAACGCCAATATTGTTTTGCATCTCATTGTTTCCCCATTTAAAACGTTAAGTTTCTACAAGTTAGTCCTCGGGTCAAGAGTGTACTTGGAAAAAAAGCGCTCGACCGCGTCAAGTACTTCTATCTCCGTACACACACACACACACACACACACACACACACACACACACAATATCATGTTTGTGTAAAATTTTCGTCTGTGTGAGTTTATATTGTATAAATATAATACACTGTATAATATATACTGCATCGTGTATATTATTAAATAATATATAATGCACTTTTAGTGATTCTCTCGTTTGTGTGTGTGCGTGTACGGACGTATAGTGCACCAGACTCCCGCATTCCGATAACTGTACAATAATCACAGTAATAATATTTTATATAACGAAAGAAGTGGCTTTAAAACCGAAGAGCTATCTAGTTCACTAAAAGTTCTTTATTGTTCCATGCTTGAATGTGGAGTAGTAACTTTCAAGCCTTAACACCATGGCTCACAAGCGACGGCTACCAACTGGAACGTGTCCAACGTAAGTTTCTTAAGTGTATACATCATCATTCAGACCATCGAATATCGATTGGTTGACCGTCAAGCATGACTACAATCCGACAGTACTTACTTCGTCATCCGAATTTGGCTACGGTGGCCGATGGACGAGTTCAAGCCAACATACTGTTTTTGACCAGACTCATTGATGGCCGTATCGACATAAATGTAATTTTAGAATATCAGTTTATAATTCCAGTAGTGTTGTCCCATTTGAAATCTTTTTTGTTATTTCCAATTACAAATCTTTTTTTTGGTATGCAAATTATTTATTTGACAGTCCTACTCTACGAATGATAGCAAACGAAGATCCACCATTCTTATTTGGGTTATACTGACACGACTAATGCAGTCACTCCAATATAATGAGAACGACTGTGTGAATGTTTATGATATAATATTATGTTACAGACTAAAGTTTTTAATATTAATATTATACCAATACCAATGCAATTTAGTTTTAAGACGACTATCCAAAATTTGTATTGGGCTTGTTCCGTTTTCAAATAAATATTACAGTTTATAATTATTAATGTACTATTCTTTTAAAAAATCCAACATTTTGTTTTGTTACTAAACGTAGAGCAATGCAACTAAATACTGAGAGAAACACAGAATAAGTACACGTTGAAGACTTCAAAATTTAAAATAAAAGCTCGTCTATCTATTTAAACTGACAGTCTATCCATATACCTACCGGATGATCCATTTAACGTAAGACTACACTCATTATTTTAAAAACTACTTACGGTCAAGAATATTTTTCTTTCCACATAATGTCCAGTCGTTAAAACGAAAAATTTAAAACAAATATTTTTTACTATTATATTTTTTAATGGCAACATGCATATTTTTTAATTCCTTATTTCAAAACAAAATATTTATAGAAGTACTTCAATACATAAAAATCAAATGTTAGGAGAGAAGTTAACTCTTTAGTTATAAGCTTGTAAAGTTTTTGTAAATGGAGTGGAATGGTACACCGCATAACGTTGGTCTAACACCATTCTAATGCGCTCGTGATATTATATAATCTACTTGGCAGAAATTTGATTTTTATACATTGAAATATTCTAAATAAATAATAATGTTACGCTTCGGAATACATAATCAAAATTAATGTTTATTGACATTCAAAGGAGTATAACTTAAAAAAATATAATATAATCATCCAAAAACTGAAACTACTAAAAATTATTGAAAAGAAATATTTTCGAAAACGTTAATGTTTTCTAAAATAATGAATGTCTTGCATTAAATGGATGATCCAGTAGGTATATCATATTATTAAACACCTTATCGACGATTTTTTTTATGAATGCACATGAATGTATTCATAATAAATTATATTATTTCGAATAATCACGCAAACGTCAGCTCGAATCTTACAGTTTATATTTTTAATCAAATCAGTTTTTCCCCTCCAAATACCATATATAATAGAGCTTTTTACAGTTTTGTTCCTTATATACGTATAACGATTGATATCATAATACTTCATGCTAAATAATTTTAAATTCATTCTGGTATCGTTAGATACTTAGACCAATAATCTATTTATAGTAGAATATACAGGCATTATACGTACTTATGATATATTCATATATAATTAAACGTAACGAGGCAAGAGACTAAATCAAATTGTTTTCCCTCTAGCAGAAATAGAACCATCATCAATGTGTAAGCATATGCAAATTTAAAAAGATAAATTTCTTACAACTAAGGCAAACCGAAATAAATTCGTGTTGTAACCGGGAAAATGCACCTACAAATCATCAATTATTAATAATTATAATATGGATCGCAATGAATTATACAATATAGTCGTATCGTTTAAATAGTTTAAATCGTTTGTACAAGTTAAAATTGTTGCACATTTGTTAAAACGTTTTAATTCGTGTAACATGTACATACTCATATATATGTATAAAAACATTTTTAAGAAGCTATAAATATTTACGACCAGCTTAACGTTTTAATTTAAATAACCTCGATAAAATCTGTACGGACGGCGTTCAGGAGTTCAACACAGACGTCAATCAAATTTCCTTTACGTGTCTCTGAGAATTTCTAATTTTCGTTTCGTTAACTATTATCCTTTTTGCCAACCATTCACTCGTACAATAACATACCTAGGTATTAATTAAAAGTTTAAAAGCTGAAGATATTGAGTAAATTTCTATCAAGTATATATATATATTATATGGAAAAAAATACACCTGCTACAAAAACCATATTGGATTTTGTTTATTGCCCAGCAGATGGTAGACGTGTTAGCTGATATTATCGATGAGGCAGATAATGACGAGGTAGGAGTAATAGCTGAAATGATGCCTAAAAAATTCAAGACATTCCTGTCGGAACTGGGGAGAATCCTGAGTACAGGCAGAAAATTGTTTTGCTGCTACAGTTGACGTGTATAGGACTATGGGCTACAGTCAGAATGACATTTTAAAGGTGTATCATTTCAAAATACGACACCGTGGAAGCTTGTTGTAAATATAGACGCCACCGTAGTGTCATTCGTACGAGATTTTACGAGACTGGCGAAAGGACATCGACGATTTGGGGAAGATACGATTTATCGTAGATTTGGTGTTCACACATTACAGGTGGGGCAAATTCCGGAAGCTGTGGTCGGCTGGTGAAAATAATTTTTTTAAAAATAACCACTACTTCCGGTCAAATTTCAGTCATGAGTTTGTATACCGTTGCAATTTTTGGATACACTCTCGTGGAAGATCAGTCAAATTTAGGATGACGGAAAAGCGCCACACATTCCTGTATTGTTGTCAACCTCGCCAAAGTTTACTTATCACGATCGTCATCATCACGCACCTGCTTTGTTAAATTATTACTTATTGTTACCATATGTTTTTTTTATCACAGATGCTACTCTTTTGTAATATTGTTAATAAAATAAAAACAATATTTTTGACAAAAAAATGGTGTATTATTCTATTAAAAAAGTTTTGTATGTTTTGCTATAAATATTGCATATGAAAAGGAGAGAGATACTATATGACTGCGGAATCAAAGCCCCAAAATGGATTAAAGTGTATTTTCCCCCTCTCAGGGGATTGGTGAGGTCTTAGTATATTATAATTTTATTTCGAAATTTGAGCACTGAACGTACAACATAAATATTCGATAAGTTATAATTTTTCTTATAACATATATATATATCCTGTGATAATGATTTTTGAACTGTATATATCGCCAGATGCGATCAACGCCTAGGTTGCAGAGACGCCAAGTAGATCCAAACCGACAATACTTGATTCGGGTAAGGGTGCACGTAAACGGCTAGCGCGAACTCAACCAGTGGATTTTCATTTAGGTGCATGCCCGTCGACTGTATGGCTTCAACTAAAACTTCGGTGTTGCTGTACGGTCTGTTGATGGGAAAACCACACATCTGAAACAATATATACATACAAGCTGGACGCTATATCATAATACCTATGTACTATTAAAAATAAATAAAAATACAATATAAAATCATTGGTGCAAAAATACTAAAACAGTGAAGTCTCCACAATATTTTAGATCGATATAACAAGAAGATTTTTGAACAGCGGTATAAAAAAAATCAGAGTAGACGATGTAGAGAGTAAGTGATGTTTGAATGACTATTAGGTATGTACTATCACTATTATATACTTTTTAGTATTAATATGTGCAATCAAAATGATAATTTTAAAAAATAAAAAATAAATTGTTCATTGTTTCAACCAAACAAAATGTAACTGATAACATTTTAGCAGAACTTATAACATATTATGAGAACATATTTTTACATTTTAGATTTCATATCAACACTAATAATTACCGAAATTATAACGGTACAATTTATTTAAAAACCTACGGGTTAACACCATTTGAATACAATTTAACACAAATTAGAAATACCTGCGAACAATTAATGGTTTAAAATGAACACATAGGAACAATCATCGAATATAATATAAACCTAATGATGCTTGTATTTCATTATATATTTAATACTAACAAGATACACCCCTGATATTTAAAAAATGTTGGTTATTTTTACTTAAAACCCTCGAACCATAAGAAAAAAAAAATTGGTAACTATATGAAAATATTACCGGTACTTAATTTTTTTTTTTAAAACCTTGATTACAAATGGTTGGCACGTGACCCAAAAAAGGTTCGCCACCCCTGCACTATAAATTATAGTCTACCTGACTACCCCCAACCCCCGGCCTTGATAAATAGTTAACAAACTGCAATAGCCCGTCATTAATGTCAGTAATGTAAAACCAGTTCATATGTATAAAAAAAAGAGTGACCGCAAGTGCCACCAAAAAGGTATTGACCGCAACTGTGCCGACCCACATTACATGCCACGCGAAGGGGAGAATGGGAAAAGACCGCACCTAAATATTATTATGTTCAAATCTCTCGGTCGTAACATTTGTAAAGACGTTAAGCATTAAATTCTTAAGCCTAATTTTATTAGGGTGATACAATACTATGTCTAGATAGTTGATACTAGAAATCATTTTATACGAACAATACTATAATTTGTATTTTAAACGTAATTATAATAATTATATAAACAAAAAAAATGCAGTTAAAAAAATGAAAACAAACTTTTATTATAGGTATCTAGGTGTAATAATTATATTTTAATTTAAAATATACACATTTGTTTAGATCTGGCATAACAACTTCCAAGGAACTTTGGACTAAATTTTCAAATTTTGAGTAGGTACCTATATGAATATTGAAGATTTTTAATTAAAGAATTTTCAACTACATCAAAATTGCAAAATGTTCTCGATTTTGAAGACTTTTGTCAAAATTCTAACTTTAACTGCTTATAAAAAATATACGTATGTTCGACATATTATTATATTAATTGGTGTATTACTGTATTAACATCATATAAAGAACCTTGTATTACATTTTCAAGGATTTTGCCTAAGAAAAATGAATTATTTCTATATTTTAAGTTCTCATACGACCCTTAAATTTGCTTTATTTTCATTCAGACATACCCAAACTGTCCCATTTTAATGTTGTCTGTATTCTCTGAATTGATAACCATTAATAGTTGCTAAAGGATTACCTTCCGTTGTTTCCATTATTTCTATTTCTTGATTACTTGGTTGTGTTGCCTAACACATTTTGCCTACGACTGATATACACATAATATATCGAAAAATACTATTTGTTCGACGTAATCGCAATGTACCTAATATAATAATTATTATTATTGCATTGACATCGATAAGACGATAACGTTGTACCAAATTGTACATAAAAATAAAATAAAAAAAGAAAGTTTGGTTTTACTCTAGTATAACTACAAGATTATTATTATTATTATTGTTATTATGTCACTATTGTAAAACCAGTTCACATGTGTAAAAATGAGTGACTAAGTGCTACCAAAAAAAGGTATAACCCACCTATAGTAGGGAGTAACCGAATTGGTTCCCGTTTGGCCAAATTGGTTCCCGTTTGAAAAAAAGATATTTTATTAAGTCGAGCCGAATTGGTTCCCGTTTAAAAAGGGTATTTTATTGAATTTAGGAAAGAAAATCCCCGGAAAAAAGATCTCCGGAGAAAAATTCCCCGGAAAAAAATCCACAGGAAAAAAAACCCCAGGAAAAAAAATCCCCAAAGTTATACCTAATTGTTGGATACAGCTGTCTAAAATAATAATTAATAATAATAAAAATATATAAAATTTGAATGATAACTATTAGGTATAATATTATTTTGATCACACAGCTGCTAGATTACGCAAAAATTAAAAATAATTATGATAATAATGAACAAAGAGATGTCTAAAATAATAATTAATAATAAAAAACAATATATAAAATTTTGAATTACACTGCGCATAAAATAAAAATAATATCTATATATATAATAAAAAATTAATCGGTTCTCTTGCGTATGTTATTACTCACAGCTGTCAAAAATTAAAAACTATACGTAGATAACGTATTTATGTGTCGATAATGCGATCAACAGCTATTATGCATTCTGGACTCAAATTAATTGGTCAGTCGGTATAACATCGTAATCGCATTTATTGAGAGGACGCTACACCGACATATTTTGTTTGTCTCCGTTTAGGATGTACAATTATATTATATAAGAAAACTTTGCAAACTCGACAAAGTAAACTTTGGGGATTTTTTTTCCTGTGAATTTTTTTTCCGGGGGTTTTTATTCCGGGGATTTTTTTTCCGAATACCATTTTATTAGGTTGATCCGAATTGGTTCCCGTTTGTGTACAGGTAATTTTTAATTTTTAATAATTGGTACAAAATATAAATTAGACAGTTTAAAATATAAATGTGCCTATACGGCTACACTCTATAATCTATAGTATCTACAATAAGATGGCAATATATATTGGAAGTTTAGCAAATTATCGGTGATATCCCGATCAATTAAGGGGATCGGTGGTGGTGACGACTGTCTTTGTCTAACACACGCGTTACAAAAGAATTCAGAGGTGTTCTTTGGCAAACGTACCGATTGATAAAGTGAAGCGATAAGAATTCTGAAAACAGATTTGAATTGGTCGTCAAGTCTACTTGAGATCGGTCAGTCTACATTTTTAATTTTAGATTCTGAGTGAAACAATAAAAAATAAATAAAAAATAAAAATAAAAAAACATTCATCGTTTCACTCAGAATATAAATTCAAAAATGTAGACTGACCGGTCTCAAGTAAACTTGACGACCAATTCAAATCTGTTTCCAGAATTCTTATCGCTTCACTTTATCAATCGGTATACGTTTGCCAAAAAACACCTCTGAATTCTTATGTAACGCGTGTGTTTGACAAAGACCGTCGTCACCGCCACTGATCCCCTTAAAATAATGATTAAGATATATGTACTTTTATCGATGTATGGTATATCGTATATATCCTATTTACGAATGACAATAATGTTGGTGAGCAGTGAGCACTGTACAGTCTCGAATAACATGTCGTGTAAATTTGTAATGTGTATTTCGTATTTGAATATATATTTTTTAATTTTTCGTAATTATGGAGTTTATGAATAGTGAAAAGGGAACTAAGTTGTTGGTTATTGACAACTACAAGTTTGGATTCCAAAAGAACCTAGCAGATAACATGCAGAGGTGGACATGTACAAAACGAAAATGTAAAGCATAAGTTAAATTGAACGGAGATTGTTTATGTGAAGAAGTATTAACACATAACCACGAAAGTGAAGACGATGGTACACTTGTACGACAACAATTGACGAATTCACTAAAAAGAAAATGTGACGAACTTATTACAGAGCGACCATCTAAAATTGTACGCAAGGAGATAGCTTCAAACAGTCATAGCGAGTAAAATGATATTAACTGAGTCCGTAAAAATTTGAATGCTGCTAAATTAAAAACAATTCCCAAGTTACCTTCTAATCTTGAAGAACTGCATAAAAGTGTCGGTGAATATTCGATAATAACTAATCTCGGAGAAAACTTAATTTATGACAACGATTCTGTCAACAATATAATTACATTCACCTGCACGCAGAACTTGGAACAACTCAAGAAAGCCACTACGGTATTTGTCGATGGAACATTCAAAAGTTGTCCTAAGCAATTTTACCAATTATTTTCTATTTTTATCAAGGTACAAAATATTTATGTTTCTGTCGTATTCAGCCTACTCCCGAACAAGACTACTGACACTTACATACTTGCTTTATATAAGGTCGCAAAATATTTAACAGTTGGCACGGTTTTCGTTGATTTTGAAACAGCTATCAATAGTGCCATAACTTCACAGCTACAGCAAGTTACAGTTAGAGGTTGCAGATTCCATTTATGTCAGTCATGGTGGAGAAAAATTCAACAAATTGGTCTCCCCAATGAATTTAAAGATAATGCTTCAGAAATCAGACAACTTCTAAAACTATTTTTTGGACTACCCTTATTATCACCCGAAGACTGTTTTTATAATGATTTTATGGCCATAAAACCTTGATGTTCAAAATTGGATCAGTTTTTTGACTACGTTCATGGACTTACATAATAACAGACAGTATCTTTCCACCGAAAATTTGGGCTAGATTTGACAAAAATATTGATAGGACTACAAATTGTTGCGAATCGTTCTATTCAAAGCTGAATAAAGAATTCACAAGTGCCCATCCTAATATATTTTATTTTATGGAGACTTTAAACAGTATTCAGACATTGAATTATATTAAATTTCGAAGTAATAATACTAGAAAACTTACTAGCAAACAAGAAAAAAATAACAAATTCTTGGAAAATTGTATGACTGAGTACACTAATGAGAAGCTTATGCGAATTGAATACTTAAAGAAAGTTTGCTTCAAATTTGCAAATCAACGATTTTAAATAATTGCATTTATTATATTTTATTATTTGTATTGCGTTCCAACATCTAGTGATCACTATAGTTGACTTCCAAATCAACGATTTAAAATTGTATATATTATATCATTTTTTTAAACGGGACCAATTCGGCATGTGGAGTTGGAACTCGGGAACCAATTCGGTACCAGTAGTATAGTACTATAGCCCTATAGTGGATGTATAAAATGTACACTGCACCTTGTGAGAGACGAGCAAGTGTTGCAACTCGGCTAGGTAACTGTTCTCCGCATTGGTGACGTCCGTGCTTCCACCGTTCCAAGTCTCTCGCTCTAGGTTTGGTAGAATTTTTCGCAGCACTGATACGCAATATCTGTTCCATACGGTCTTGGACTTGACCCGCCACTTCATCAGCGAGTTTCGCAACGTCGTCTCCAGCTTGTCTTGAAGAAGACGAGCGTCTGCGATGGCTGCCGGCGTGTAGTCCACTGTATCCGGCTGCACGGAACCCGCCATGGTGGGCGCCGCCTGGTACCGACCGAAAGCCGGGTTCCAGTCCCTGGTCTGCGTTACATCCCACCGGGTCCTGGGCACCGATTTCTCGTACTGGATGTTCAGCCAGATCTATATAAGCATATATTATGCACAAGTAGGTATAGTAGCATATGTATATACGCGTAGGTAACCAATTGTAATTGAATAATACTGTATAAAGGCGAGAATTTAGTTTGTAATATAATATATGAAAGAGGACATCATCGGTGGTTGTTAATTGAAAAATATAGCTACTACAACGAGCGGAAGAAGGAATTCAGATGAATTAAATAAGAAAACTGTAACTGTATCACTCATATTCCAAAATGGGTTGGTATACATTATGAGGGTAATTCTTTGGAGATACCTAGAGATAATCAATCACGTCATATACCATTGCCAAAAACAAGCTTTTAATTCATATTATAAAAAAATGTTTATTTTTAGATTCTGATCGTAGGGCGATAAATGTATGTTTTTACAATGTTTTTATTCTGCCGTCATCAATTTTTTGAGTAGGTAATAAAAATGGTCCAATTGTCGACATCAGAACATCTTTTACGATAGAAAAGTGAATTTAGTTGGTGCATTTGGCAGGTCAAAATGAAAATTCCTAGTAGTTTTAAAAAGCGTCGGAAAAACAAACAAAAAATAATTTTTACCCAATTTTTGACAAAATCATAAAAACTTTAATTTTTTTACCAAATATTTATAAATATTTATAATAGCATTTTCCATACATGGAAAAATGTTTTGACTCTTTTTGAGTTATTTATAGCCATAATGAGACACTTTTTGAAATTAGGAAAATTTTTAAAAATTATTAACGATAAAAAATGTATCACTAGTTAAAATCCTGAAAATGTAATGCAAGGTTTCCGGTAAGTTTTTTTGATAGTCATTAGAAAACATTCAAGATAGTCACGATTATTTTTATATACATTTAAATTTCAAATTTTGACAAAAGTACATTAAAATCCCAAAAATTTGCAAATAATTTTTCAAATTCATAAAAAATTTAATTTTCATAACTAACATTAGAAATTTTAATAGGGATACCCCACGTGTTCTACCTTTACAAAATATAATATCGGAATGTTACGCTATTTATAGTCATGAGATATTTTCGATTTTTATTAATTTTTATTTTAGTTATTGTATTTAATTAGTTATACAACTATACTAAGCCAAGTACGCAGTGTCCTTTCAGAATAGTTTTTTTTTATGGAATAATTTATCATTGAATTTAAATCGAATGCATTCATTACAAAGACATACTCAACAATTCTGTTCAGCTGAGGTGTCCCCCTATTTGAACGTGCATTTTTACGTTTAAAAAAAACTAATGACTCTCTAGTTATAATAACTATAATTAGTGTATAGCACCTACATAGATACTCACATTTTCGGAGTTCATCAGACAGTACGCTTCCTGTATTGGTGAAAAGCTATCACACGTAGAGTATTTCTGACCGGTGAGAGGGTCCCAGACGTCATACACGGGGGTGGCGGACGGTTGGCAAGGCACTGCGCACGTCAGCACGTAAGCGGCCTCACCCCGGGACACGCCGGTGCCGAGAAGCAACCAAGACCGGATGTTTAGCTTGGCGAAGTAACAGCATAGCAATATACCATGGTCTACACCAGAACCGCCGCCGAACAGTAAGCCCAACAGTTGCTGAAATAGACAACGGAAAAATATTACAACTGCCTGTAGTCTGCGTATACACACGCATAATATACAATAATTATAAAATGGTCCAAACAGGTTTTTCAACCGTAAGTTTTTCCGACTGATCCGAACGTACGCTTTATCCTTTAAGAAGACTTCCACGCTGCGGAGTCGTTATTAAAACCCTTTGGTTTGGGGAAGGGTTGATCAACCCTCCCATTCCGAATCAATCGGTGAATTATTGTTAAGAATGGTCAGTATTTTTTTTTTATTTTTACGATTGGTAATTTTTTTTTTATTTCTGGCTCTGGGACAATTTATATTTATGAATATTTTTTCCCAAAAAAATAAAAAATTATGCTGACATCAGTGTTTTCCCATCATATAAAAACATAAACCAGTTAACTATTATGAAGAAACTCTTTTTGATTATTATCTGGAACACAATATCGATACTGTATAACGGCATGTCGACCACAGAACTAGTTATCCATACGGACCATAAGATTTATGTTAACTCTCGTATATTTTAACGTAAACAATTTAAATACCTATAATGTTCTATCAACATAAAACTCATTCTCCAAGGATAATTTATAACATTTTATCAAAGTATTTAAGTCTTTATATATTTAATGCAATATGTTATCGTATTATTTGAAAAATTAATATTTTTATACTGACATATTGACATTATAAGATACATCACTGCTATTTCCTTCTAACACTGATAAATGAAAATGTAAATATATTAATGATAAACAAGCAGAAATGAAAACAATAATAATTGGTATTTGTATAGGCAGTGAATTGCACATTTAATTTCACATTGAAGACCTCATAATTCATAAAGAAATTTGAAGAAATGAAACGTATTTTACCAACGGCCAATAGAATATGCAGATTAGTATTTATTACAACGTGTAGGCGTGTAGCAACAAATTAAGACTTTCGGAAAATATTAATGAATTAAGAATTATTTAAAAATAATCGTTTTAACAAGGATCAACGAACCAGACACAGTCAATGCTGTGGATAGTCTTACCCAAATTTTAAAATTTTAATTTATTTTGAAGCCACTTATACGATCAAATTGAAAGTATTTTAAAATTAAATAAATAATAATGATTTCAATGTCACGACAACATATCACATATTTCTTCTTTATCTAGCAATAACTAATATTTATAAGTAAAGAAAATTTTAATATTAAGTTAAATATCACCCAGTTAAATATTTTTTTATTTAATTAGGAATTAATCGACTGTAAATATGATCTAAAATTAAAATATATAGTTACCTATCTACATGATAATAAAACATATTAACTATCAAATATAAATAGTTCAGACGTATGGTCTTGTTTTAAAACTAGGTACAATGTAACTTGTAATAAATAATAACAAATAACTTTTCATGAAAAGTAGTTAGTGTAAAATTGTGGAGATAACTATAACAAATAATGGGAAAATCAATAAATGTAGGCCAACGTTTATACATTCAACATTTATACTGAAGTAAAAACACAATTTTTTCAATAATAGATAAAAATTCACATTTATTACTAAGTTAAATTTTTTTGGATTTTGAAACTCTGGATTTTCTATATTATTATGTTAAATAGAATAATATAAAAATGGGTAAATGGTAGTACAAGTACAGTTTTAAATATTCTGTATTAAATATTTATTTCTGTACTATTAACTATATAATATCAAGAGATTTATTTAATAAGAAATTTTTTTTTTGAATATTCATGTTTTCATCACAACAAAAAATTCGAAACAAACTTGCGGCTAATAGAATCAAAAAACATTCGACAAATTTTAACGATTCAAGGATAGTTAAAACTTTAGAAAATAGATTGAGTCTGCAGTTATTTTAGAGTGGCTTACTCACTATTAACAATATTAATCACATATATATTCGTTTATTTTAACTCGCAATTGATTACACGTAAGAAAAAACTAATTACCTACGTATTAGTGTATTACTATCCGCTTCAGGTGAACTATTACTGTTCATCGCGGTTTCATTTATCCCCGGGCCATGCCGGGTAATACACCTACTAAATTATAAATAAACGCGTTTGGAAATCGATATATCTCGATGGTTATAAATTATAAAATATAAATGTCTAGTATTAAAGATCGGTTGTGTAGTTTACGACCTTCAATATCAGCTATAAAATTATTTTATTTTTGAATACTCGTAGTAAGAGCTGCAGTCGATGCACCACGCAGCTGCAGTACGTAAAATATAATATTATTTTTCTCACAGTCTATAAAATAAGAAAAAAAACAAAACGATGACAGACGAAGGAATAGTTATATGAATAACCGATACAGATTTTTAACAGTTAATAAATAACCGACGGCGACAAATCGACAAATTAAAGAATACTAAACTTATACATTAAAATGGGACTAAAAATCTAAAATGTATCTAATAATACTGATTCTCGGAATTAGATAATGTTTACGGTATTTGGCATCGATAATGGGATGAATTTTACTTTTTAGTGAATATTGAGGAATAACGATTTTACAGATTATATAGGTACTCTCAGTCACTTTTGTTTGTTTTTCTTTGTACACTTTGTACAACAATTAATTATTAGTTATTACCTTAATACCATCATATTAAATATATGTGTAGAAAGAAAATGATATGTACATAATATAAAATTATGTTTAGTATAATACTCACGTCTCCGGTCAACCAGACATCAAATCGGCCGATGAGCAAAACATTGCTGTTTACCACTGGTATAAGAGATACGAATCTGGCGACCATTTCGGCGGTGGTGTTTAAAGTGTCCTCGGAAATCACTTAGAAAAAAAAAAGGAAACTTTGAGAGAAAAATATGTATAAAATATAAGTCATGCTTATATGCCATAAGTGATAAGTTTGTAATTTTTTGATTAAAAAAAACGGAATTAATTTTATTTTTTTATAATCATTTCAAGATAAAATGAGAGAGCACAGAAAACTATCTACTATAGTTTAATATTCTGTATCTATAATGGACTATTATACGTTGAATAACAAAATCCATAACAATACAGCATAATTATAATTATAATTTTATAATAAAACAAAATAAGCTAAAGCATAAATCACTAGAATCCGAAATCATAAAAAATTATCCTTGGGATAGTGTTGTACTTCATACATGGGATGATGTGGGGCCGCAAGGGAACTAGGTCCCACTACCTCTGACCTTGCTTAAAAAGTGTCCCTTTATCTTGTTCTTCAAAAAGTACGCTAGTAAGTTGAGGCCTTCAAGTTTAATCAAAATAATTGTTCTTTTCACTTCAAAATAGGTAGATATAAAATTGGTATTGACAACTTATTCATTACTTAATGATTTGCTGTATAGAGTATAGACCATGAGACAACTCTTCATAAAACGCTCAAAATAAAATAGAGATTACAGAACCCTTGGTCATTTTGTACTACATTAAACCCTGATTGTATAATATATATACCTACCGACTAGCTCATAAAATTATTTACTAAAGCTCAACAACAAAAATTACTACAAGGGATAACGAATATATACCATGTACCTACCAGGGAGCGGTAAAGGCCTAAAGAATCTGGTCACACAGACGGATTTACCACTGCAGTGTATCACCAAGGTTTTCACAGGCCTTCCAGGAAACTGTTTTGCCCCTTCTGCAGACCAATACTCCAAATACCTTTCAAAATTAAACGATTCACTGCAGTCCAATCTTTCCTGTAAATTTTTATAATATAATTAAATAATTAAATACATAATACAACTTTATAATCTGAAAAAAAAAGAAAATACAATTTAATTAATAAAGGTCAAACGATTACGATAATAATTACTATTAATTTCACGCTAAAAACTTTTCAATTACACTGATTAAAAAAGAAAAAAAATTAAACGGTTTAATAAAAGGGAGAGGGTACAAAATTTCTTTATGTTACTTTTCAAATAGATTGAGATTTTCAAAAGCTGTAATTAGGCAAAGAGAAAATTAAAAAAATGTGTAAAAAAATAAAAATAAAGTGATAAATATTGATACAGGAATTCATTAGAAGAATTTAACTGAATAAATCCATTCAATAACTGAATAATAAAGATGCTATTATTTACAAAAATGAAAATAATAAATACATAAGTCAGATGCTTAGGCTGCAAATTCAATATGCTTCTGACATATCTGTTTGTACTTTATATAAGATATTTCAGTGGGTATTTGGACGTTTTCTCATCCCCCCCCCTCCCAGACTGAGACATTTCCTTCTCAATCAATATATTATTTATTTTACACACTAAAATAGGTTCTTTGGTGTTACCCGAAATATATAATCATCATATAAGCATCTATCGACTATCATTATTCACGGTATGGATGTATTACCCAATTTAATGAGTAACAATTGATAAACCAGTTATGTAAAACTATTATTGAATCATACTATAATTATATTAATTTAAACATTTGTACATTTATTGATTTGTATTGGATATTATTGTTTGTGAGGTGTATGAAATAGTTGGTCCAATTAATAATACTAATAAGGAAAAAGAAATTTGAAAATGTCACAATAAGTATTGATTGATGATCAAATATAAATGTATCAAAATAATTTACTACATTATTATAGTAAGTAACTTGAGATACATAATATTTAAATATTTAAAATTAAAATTAAAAAGGAAGATAGTTGTAAGATATATCGACAAATATTTAAAAATGGAACAATTAAATAATAAATATATGCAAGTAAATATTTTATCATTCATTAGATTGAAGATTTTAAATACCTTGATAGGTTCAGGATGGTGCAGTGGTGGTTGGACCATAATGAATAAGCTCAGAAAAGTTGAGTTCCTATAATGAGAGCTTTCAGAATTCGACACAAGTCTTTCATACCCCAAAAGGTGTCTAGGTGTGTTCATTTGGAATATTCCCTCAATCTGAAAAATAAATTTAGTATAATAAACTGAATAATTATATTATATTAAGTGAATACAATTTATACACATGCATAGTTAATATTATTTTTAGAAAAAATTAAAATGGCATTAGTTATGCAGGCCCATAATCATTATTAACATTTTACATGCTAAACAACAAGTTATTACATTTCTTTAATATTATAGAAAGTGATTGAAATACTGAAATATTACTTTTAAATACAAAATCATTCTCTAATTTTAATATTTATGTTGAAATCAAAAACTATTAAAAACATAGGATAATTAGACATTATTGATTTATTAAAATGTATAACACACTTCAGCCAAACCATTAAAAGTACTCTATACTTAAATATACATTTTTATACAAAAAATTGTTTATTAAATGTTGGTTAATATTTCTCTGATTCGATTTACAAGAAATGAGCAAAAACACTCATTAAATATGATATAACTAACAACAAAGTGGTTGATAGATTTATAATTTTTCAAAAGTTTCTCATTACAATATTAATGCTCATAACAAATTTTCAGAGGATAGCCGATATTATTTTACTCAGTATAATATTGTACAGAAAACTTTAAATTTTATTTTTGTTAAATTGTTGATTTATTACACATAACCTGTTCTAATTTCCACTTAACCATAAAATAATAAACAAAATTAGTTGCCATAAAGATCTTTTAAATGTAATAATTAGGACTGGCTATCAAACAGCTATTGCTAGAAATAAAATACATCAAAATAGAATACGGTAGAACGTCGATTATCTGGATTAATTAATGTCGAGGATGACTTGGATAGACAAATATCCAGATAATTGAAATAAGACACATTAAAGGTAACGAATGTGTTATATGAATACATTTTATTTATTATATTATATAATATAATTTAACAAATGAGATAGTAAACAAATTATTAAACATTTTAAAAAATAAGAAAAAACTTGGAATGGTACATTATTTTTACAAATGTTTGGAATATTATTATAGATGTTCTAATAACATACTTTTTGGAAAATTCTCGGCCGGTTTCATTTTTTTTTTCAATCGCACAATGATATCTACTTTTTCTTTTATGTAAGCATTACAGGTTTTATATTTGACAGCATTGTGACACTGAAATTCACTAGCTTTAAGGGTTGACAAACTAAATTGTACAACGATTAGACAACAACTGATTTACTGAGGAAACACATTGCCATTAACCGATAATAAATAATAATAATCAGCGGTCAATAATTGTGAGGTGGATATCTAATTTACGATTATGTGAAATAATAAAATTGAAAATACAATAACTATTACCAAATTATTAAAAGACTAAACCTTTTTTTATCTCGTCCAGTTCATCAGCGTTCTACCGTTGCTAAATAACTAGTAACTTTTAGGGATCTTGACAACTAATCAAAACTCAATGTGACTAATGCTTTTTCACAATACAGAGATACTTTAAAATATTATAATATAATACTATTATATAAGTACAGTGAAACCTGAATATAACGGACAGTCACAGGGCTATCAAAAGTGTCTGTTATAGACAAGTGTTCATTATCCGGTTTTATTATTTAATAATAAAACTCACAAACATATATATTTAATGAAAATATTATGTTGTAATGAAAAATAACTGATGGTCAATATAATGTATTTTATATGTAGATGCATATATAATTAAACATGACACACATAATTATACAAATAAGCAATTAACATTATCTTGTTCCTCGTTGTCGAGACTAGTGTCGTTAGTTATGACATAGTATGTACAAATGGCTACAATTATATTCAAATATATACTAGTATAATATGATATTATACTAAGATTGTTGCCCGTTTTTAAGATTTCAGGAGAAAATATTACTGTCCATGTAAGACTAGAATACACATTTTTTTTTCGGGACTTTTGATCATTTTTTCCGTTGAAAAATGTGTCAGTAGATCAGGTTTTACTGTAAATTGAATACAATATAACTAACTTGAGAGCTGTTGAATAATGCGGATATGGGTATAACACAGCTTCCTAACCAATGTCTCTCCAAACGTTGATGTATGTTTGTTTCTCGGGTTCTGCCATCTTCTAATATATCAATAACTATTTCATCATACATATTTATGTGAATGCAGTCATCAATAGGTTGGACTTCATTGGGACATAAATCAACTGAATTTGATCTGAAAGAAAAACAAATTAAAAATTTGCTAAATTTGTTTTTAATTATTTGATTCAACAAACAAATAAATGGAACTTGGTATGCAACATAACATTATATATACACCAGTAGACTATAGAACATTTTAGTTTTTACTAAAAATTATCGAATAAAATAGTAATTTAAATTAAGTTGTGTATATTTTTTATGCTATAAGAGTTTTTTTAGTAATTACTTGTTTCCATGTTGATTTATCATTAGTTAATATTTAAAATATAACATCTAAGTATACCTAAAAAATATATTCAAAAAAGTGCATTACACGAATGCTATGATACATTAAAAAAACATCATAACTTGTCAATTAAAAGTATATTGAATTTGGTTTTTATAAATATGATTTTTATTTTGTTGATATTTTTTTTACGAAAATCATTATTATTCATAGGCTAATAATGTATGATTAATAATTGGTACTTAAACATAAATAATAAATTATAATTCTAGGAATAATGTAATATTTATAAACATATAAGAGTTGAATTTACATGTAAAAACATATTATATAAAAAGAAAAAATTGTATACTTAAGATTTTCTTAGCACCAGTAGTGGTATAATACCAATATCCATAATATGTGCATACATCAAAATATTATTTTCTTATTATATTTATGGTTTTGTGTGGTACTCAAAAAATCAAATTATGTATCAAAGTATTATAGGTATGAAATTGAAATAAAGTTATATTTTTAATTTAATTGGACCAATTTTTAATTTTTATAACCTTTATCATTAATAATTACAATTTTACTATAATATTATATTCATACAATGCATTTATCACTATATTGATTACATTGTATAACTTTACTATCCCCATCTTTTTATTTTTATGAATATTAAAAAAATTGAAAGACAGCTTTCAAAACTGCATACAACTGTGTGTGAGTCAGTTACAAAAATGTCAAAAATACAATTAGAAGCTAATTTTGGTAGTTATATATTATATTTTATATATAAGTATTTATAAGGTGATTTTTTAAGTATGCTCGCACTGTTTCTTATGCTTATATTATGCATATATTCAAATTCTTTTTGGCATTTTTAAGTTTAGTAAAGGACATAATTTTTAAATACATAGATTTCTTTCAACATTTAAGGAGTATCCTACGGTGATACCAACTTTGGTATTTCAAATGAGAACCTACATATATAAATATGAATTGTGACACGTATGATTTTTTTGAAAATGTTGACATACCTATTGTTATCATAGTTCGAATAAAAAGTTTCTGAATTTTTCTAATTTAAATACTATAAGGATAATAGTCTATTAAACACTTTGCAAATTGATACTACTTCGGTAATTCTAGTTAAGTATGCAGTATAAAATAGTTATTAATTATTACTACTTATACTCTATTCAGAATAAGAAAAGTGCCAGGCAGCATACTTAAAAAATCACTCTATACTCATAAATATATTGTATAATTAATATTAATTATTAAAATATATATTTGATATTATTGTATTAAATGTTCCTAACTTAAATTTAAATATGGAAGTAAAACTTAATAACAATTTGTATAGATATTTTATACATCAATAATTCTTTGGTGTGAATTAAAAATCAAACATTTATTTTCTGCGTGATTTATACACTTATGTATTAAAAAATATTTACAAATCATACTAAACAAACAGGTTTGGCATCTTATTAATAAAACGATTGTGGTAGATATAAAAAATTTATATTAGATATCAATTGCCATGAAAAATATAGATTACCATAATTAATAAGAATTGTACATTTTTCCCCTTTAAAGATGTAAGAATCATCAGAAAATCATTAGAAGTGGAGAGTTTAAAAAAAATGAGTAACCTCATGTTTACAATAATTACTATAAATTAAATTGCCTTTAGGTAATATCAACACTCAACAATCCATAAAACAATTTTATTTCTAACAAATAAACCTACTTAATAATTTTAAAAATAAGATGATAATATTATAAACAATTCTCACCTAACAATTAATTGCAAATCTTGGTTCCATGTTGGATTAGAACCTTCAGCGGTAGTTGTTCTACTCGTATGATTCTTGAAGGATATTTCAACAAATGGTTGTACTGGAACCATTGCTATGTCCCCCATCATCATATCAGAGTTTTTTCTCACGGGTACCTCAAAAGCTCTCATGACATTAATAACAACCTAGTATGAAAAATAATAGAAAAATAAGAAATAACTTTTGTAACAATAATATTTATAAAAATATTTACTTTAATTTCTTGACCCGAAAGGCTTTTAGCTGGTATTTTCTTTCTTTCTTTTCTTCTAGGACGTAATGGTCGTTTTGGCTGAAACATTTTCATAAATGTCAAGCCTAAGGTTCTGTAAATAATAACAGTTAATAGTAGCCAAGTATAATAATAATAATAATATAGTATAATCCAAATTTTTTTTTTTGTACATAACATTGCATTGTAATGAAATATAAAAAATGTTAACAGTTTAATTGCATATTTATGCGGTATTCTCTCAAATCTATTTTAAAACGTTCAATTTTTGGGAGAAACTGATGACAGCATTAAATAGAGCAAAGCACACAGCTTGTCTAATTGAAAGTTGCTAATTGTAACTTATTCAAAAAAAAAAAATTATAGTTCATAACCATCATAATATGTTTAATGCAATAAAATATATTCTGCGCATTTTAATTTTACTTAACTTTATCAAAATAATTTGTTATTCAGTTGGTTTATCAATGTTCAAACGATGAGTGTGTTTCATACATTACTATTCCTTAAAAATAATTGATATTGATATTGCAATTTAAGTAGGTAATTTTTAATTACATATATTATTGGAAATTTAATAATTGGTAATAATATTGATATTATGCTTTTAAATCTCCTATCTTAGTTAGTTTTTAAAACGTCACGTTTTACTGTAAATATACATTTTTCAGCTTCTAAACTGTATTAAAATTATTAGTCTGATTAGTCAGGTTTAAAAATATGCCTGATGTCCTTAAAATATGGCCAATGGTTGAAATTGCATTAGTGCCACCTGAGCACCAAAATTTTAAACACGGCCAGACACTATGACAAAGTTTATGGCCAAAATTAACATACCCAATGTCAGGTACGGTGTCTTCAACAATGATGTCTCGGGTTATTTTATTTCTGTTACCAAGTTTGCATTGTTTGAGGATCTTGTCATACAGTTTGATAACTGAATACCGCCCCCAGATTCTACTAGTTTCCAAAGGCCCAAGACCAGCAACTTCTAGTGCAAGCTCAGAAGTTGCCACGCGGTTTTCAAATTCCTTAATAAATAGTATTTGTTATTAGTCCAACACAATTTATTTAGCATAAGTATAATAATAAATAAAATTAGTTAAATAAACTACAGCAAACATGGACATTTTTTATATTATTTTTATTATTATAGTTACAATTCAATCATCTTTTTAACTCACAACCAAATCAAGTTTTTTTCTCCATTGAATATTGAGACTAAAAAAACTCAATAAACTTAAATTGTCCACCAAATTATAAAAAAAATTAGCTTAAACAAGTGTAAACAATTTTAAGGGAGTCTTGAAAAAAATATTCTTATTATAATAAGACATATTCACACATTTTTTGCAGCTTTAAGCAAAATAAAGTACAATGGTAATGTATTGCCATAGCTGCCAATATAATTAGATCAATTACAAAAACAAGTATTAAAACATACAAATAAGTATAAAAATATTTTTGATAAGTTAAAAAAAATATGAGAATTACCTATAAATAACTTACATTGAATATGTCTTTTGGTATAAGCCATTCTTTTAATGGTACTGCTTTGGCCATTCTAAATTCTATTTCTCCACGATCACGTAATTTTAATAATTTTAGTCTAGGATTAGAATCTAATTCTTCTTCTGAACAGAATTCCAACATTTTTTGATAAATATTAACGCTAAACTTTGACTTCATTTTAAAAACCATTTCATCATCAACACTCTAAAAAAAAAAAATAGTTACATTCAATACAGTTTGAAAAATATTGATTAAAAAATTGTATTTTACGCACTTTTAGAGCCTCAAAATATGATACATTGTTTGGATCATTAGGATCTGGATGCAAATCATTCATCCAACTCAAAATCTTCTCTGTTTTAGTTGAAAAAACATTGGTACTAGAACAATGTATACTTTATACATATATTACCTATTTACATATCACATTCTACTTATGTAAAAAAAAAAATAAATAAAATCACTTACTTATGTGAATAAATTCTGTTAAAGAAATTTTCAGGTGGGCATAAAATTTTATCATCAAATATGCCCCAACCAGCCTTGCACAAAACTTCACCAGACGTATACAAACATTGATTTTCAGAATCTTCAGGAAATATCTTAAAGTCCACACCACTTCCAACACCGGCATTTTGTAAGCTCTGATTGCCAAAACAACTGAACTCCAAGTTTTCTATGTCAACGACATCTAATGTAGTATTGCTAAAATTAAAAATATGATTGTATGCATTATATTAGTCACACAATGGTTGATCAATTATACCTTATTGGAAAAGGTATGTAAAGTTCTGCAATGGGATTTTTGGTAAACACATTTTTTGAACTCAGGTTTTCACAATGAATATTCAATGATAATGTATCAGGCCACTGATGGATTTCAACAACAAATTTCTGATTAACATCAATAGAAAAACTGTCATTGATTGGTAACGAAGTAGATTCACACACTACATGACCATTAAATATCACGTCGAACCAAATAGAATGTTTCGACAATGCCAACCTTCGTTGAAGCTCACTACAAAAAAAAAACTGTACACTATTTATACTATGACATTAATTAACATTCAATTTTTATTACTCTTTTGCAGTAATAGAATCTTCAGGGGTAGGCTCAATTTTAGCCATAACAAATGTAATAATTGGCTCTCCTGGCGATCTCAATGAATCTGAGAGGATACTAAATACCTGATCTCGGACTTTAGAAATATTGGTTTCAATATTGTTTTCTCCCATTTCTTCAAGAGTCTCTGCTACTAACCTAAATTATGAAAATATTAAATTCAATCACTATAATAGTATTTTTTACCCATACCTGTTAAACTCTGTTTCCCATTCTTCAGTATTATCATGGTCATCAACAATTATTTCCAACTTTGTACTAGTGACAATATACCCTTGCCTTTCTCTCAATTTTTTCAAGTCTCTCCAGGTCTCCAAAATATTGGATACTAAAGATCGATCTGATTTACCTTCCAGCAATCTCTGAGATCGAGTTTCTTTAATTTCTGTTTTATATCTAAAAGGGAAAGTAAAATTATTAAAACAAAATCACTACATTTGAAAAATGTTTGAACCTATGTAAACGATTTTCATGGTTTTCCAGCAAATCTTTATTGTTTTCTTCTGACATGACCTTAACTAAAGTATCTTTAGCATTACGTAAGGCCTCTAATCTTCCAGACAACATTTTTGTTCTTGCAATATCTTGACGACACTTATACTTATAATACAGTTGTAACAATTGCTTATCTAAAACATGCTGTCGGCTGAAAAGAGCATGATGACTAAACTGAATTTTTGAAATTTCTAGTTCTAAAAGAAATTTTATTTCTTTAGAATCTTGTGAATCGTTGTTGAAACTATATGGGTTCTTAAACGGTATTGCCTGAAAGCACAATAAATTATTATAAGAGAAAATACAATCAGTATAAACAGTGTACTGTCGTTGAATATTGGACATAAATAATAATGTACTTACTTTTGTGTACTTAATATCTAAAAACCCATTATTTTCAGAAGTGTCTAATAAATTACAGCAAGATGGACTAGTCAAAGGATCAGGTAATCTGATTGGTTCACCATCTTCGCCAAACCAATGGCTAACAACAAAATTGAATTATTATTAGTTAATAACAAATTTCAAAATATTTCTATCCATAACACTTCTTACAATTCATTAGCTTTAAGAAGTCTTTGTTGAAGTTTATTTAAACATTTTTCATAGATAGGAGGATATGTACCAACATAAAGTCCTTCTCTCTCAAGGTATCGAGGTTGTCTCGAATTCAGTCGTTTTGCTAGATCCACTAAAATCATATATTTATTAATCGAAATACATGATTTATTCCACTGTTAATTTTTTTTAATGTTCAGCTACAATTGTTCACTAACAGTCAAAAAAAATTCAATAAGAAAATCAAATTAAAAGCATAACAAAAAAATGAAAATTTAAAATAACGACGACTTGGGAAAACATATAATAATAAAATAAATTTTGATGTTTGAACTCATAAAATATTGTTTAGCAAATATATTAATTAATCAAGGTTTTTAGTGTTTTTACCTTGAGATCCATCTGGAATAAAATAAATATTTTCGGCTGCTTCTTTTATTTTTATGGATGTATTCAAAAATGGAACCAAGGAATGATCTAAAACATCGCCTTCCTCTCCATCTGTTAGTCCTAAATAATCTTCTGTAACCAGTTTTTTATCTTCTTCATTAGAAAAACCAACTTCTGCGTCTATACAAATAATGAAACTCGTTTCAAGTGAAAAATTAACAACATGAAATTAACAATTAAATCAATATAAAATAAAAATGTATAATATATAACTGGCCTGCACCTTTCAAAAACTAATTTTAAGATGCCTACTATTATTATAAAATTTGTTTATACTAAGACAAGAGTCTTCTAGATTCTCAATAGATGTTATACAATATTAGTGCAATCATTTCCTCGTTTTGAAGTAAATAATGTCCTAAAATAAATATTAATGGGTAAGATTAAAATAAAAATAATTTAAATATTTACCGCTGGATTCAGCTGATTTCTCATGGATTTCATCAGGTTTAGAAGGAGGGTCCCATACTTTAGTGAAAAAATTGTAACTCTCAATTTCATGGTCTACCTTCAAAAAATAAAATCATATGTTATGTCACCTTTTCAAATTAACAAATTAGTATTTATTTTTTAATAAAAATGTTAGTGCTTAAAATTTCAATTAATTTAAAATGTGATAAAAAATAAAAGCAGATGCAAAAGCTTAATGCATATGTTCATGATGTGATTCAGTTAAGTCCATGCTTCGTAAAGTACACCTGTCCAAGACAGGTGAGGAAATGCAGGTGCAGTATTGCAGGAACTATGGTTGGTAGATAAGGATGAAACAGCCCGTGAAAGAAACTTAACTTAATGGTAAAACTAACAATAGAATAAAATTTAAATGCAATAATTAAAGGGAATCATTAAAATAATTTTTATTTTTACCCCATAAAAATATGTTTAAAGTAATAATTCTTACTCATTTGTGTATTGGCTATTTGTGCATATTAACAAAATCAGTGCAAGTGTTGAAGTTACCTGTGTAAATAATTTATTAAACTTCATTAAAGTGAGTATATAATATTATTATATTTATAGGTACCTCATGCACACTATTAATGACCACGTTTTTTCTGATTTTATCCTTTTCATGTTTCTCTAAGGCAGCTGCAACTGCCTGATTTTCTGAACTCATCTGAAACACAAAATTTAAATTTAAATATAAAATAAATAGGTGATAGCTGATAAATTATATCAAAAAAACGAAAACAATTAATTTCTATCAAATAAAAATAACATATTATACTAACACATAAAAACTATAAACATTATTATCATTGATCAAATAGTTTACTGATGTATAACGTTAACCAATCAAAAATACAATAATTATAAAGAATATTTTTTTAATTGTATATACTACAATTTTAAAAATAAGTACCTATATATTTTGGTTTATAACAAAATAAATACAATTATGTTCTAAAAAATCAAGTGTAAATTCATTATATTGATCATGAATTGCTTTAGTTAATTAGCTGTATGTTTTATAATTTAATGTGCCCACTTTACTTTTACAGTAAAAATGTTATAATAGTTTCGATTTTGTATGGATACTTTTCAGTTTTTCACAGAATGGCATTGCTACGCTGTTTTTAATCCCTTTGTTAATAGTATAATTTATAACCTTCAAGTTGTACTTAAGATAATTTATTAACCTAGGTCCTAGAGATGCAAATAACATACAAATATGAACTGAAGTCCCTTAAAATTGTTTAAATGTTGAACTATAGTAAATTTAATGGATTTTAAAAGAACTATGGAAACCGTTAAAACAACTGCAAATAATGAAACACTAATATAAAATAAAACAAAGTAAAAGTTATTTTTATTTTGTTATTACTATAAGATGAAAGAGATATAAATATTAAAAAGAATGTGTGCATCTATGTATATAAATCAATAACAATGCAACTAAATGCAATATTAACAATGAATCATAAAATCATCTGACAAGGAAAAGATAATACATTTTCTTAACTATTTATTTGTATTATTTTATTATAATGTATGGATTACGATTATTACTGTAGCTCATTCATTTTATTTACAGGTCTAAGAGCAGTTATACTAACAAATTTATACTGAACAGATTCTATAGAAACCACCTTATAGTTTGTATATAGTCTATTTTACATAAGCTTAACTCAAAATAACAAAATTTGATTATCCTAAAATATGTAAGAAATGTAAAATAGATTAGTCAAATAAAAGATGATATACAAATGCAAAATGGTAATGGAGTCAGTTTATATAAATAAATCAACAACATATTTTACAATAAGAAAATGGTCAAACATACCAATTGGGCTAGACGTTCAGCAGGCTGTTTGACATTTTGTTGAACCTTGGTCTTAGTTTGTTCAACTACTACAGTGTTTGAGGCTCTTTCCTAGGAAAAGTAACTGTCAAAAACCATGTACAAAATAAAGTATATCCAACATAATTGGGATATTATATCCAATATACCTTGACTTGATTAACATGTTCTCTGAGACGATCTTTAAATGAGCGTACTTCTGACTGTGATGTACACGTGCTGGACATACCATCAATCGATGGTCTACGACTGCCCAATACACTGGCAGGGCTCAAAGCCTAAAAGAAAAACAATCCACACTAACATTAATTTAACATATTACAATATTAAATAAATACATATTATGATTAGTATAGGATTTTAATGTAGGCATATAACTGTAAGGTGTAGTTATAATGTAAGCTACCAAGTCTACAGCAATATTTGACGTCCGTTCAGATGGCTCTGGTGTTTCACGGGGTGTTTCGGGGCAATCAAGTACTTCCAAATCGTTTTCGTCCATTTTCATAAAAGAAAAAAACCTGTATATGTATTCAACGTCAATATGATACTAATATAATATTGTGTACTGCTTAAGCAGTACTAAAAAACAATACACAATTTTTTTTATAACTTTTCCATAACTTTAAAATTGGTAGATAGTCATAGTAGACACTAATAATTACTGGTTTTTGTTTTCTAAAATAATCTCCATGGATACAGTTGATAACACATTAACACATTTATAATGTACATTGATAATATTTTCCAAATGATAACACATTGCTTATCAAATATAATATATTCTTATCACGAGACATTAACATTGAATCTTAGATCATATTTTATATATATTTTATCCTTTATTTTATATATGATCTAAGCATTGAATACATTAAAAATTTTTTTAACAAACAGTAACCTCTAAGGAAAATAGGTAACCATAGAGTAACATAGTACTCTAATACTGAAAACAACCTTTTTTTTTTCTCTCGTTTTGAACCGACGGCGCCGCGGGGACTGCTTGCGCAAATACTGAAAACAACCTTTATAGGTATAACCTAACCTTATTAATTTTACTATGAATCACCTAACAAGTTGAAGTTGTGAAGAAGAAGAACGAAGGTTACCTACAAGACTAGCTAGAACTTGCTCAACACAGTTTTCAAAATCCTGTGGTCAGCGAACTTCAGATTTAGATTTTAGAATATAAATTACCTTTAAATTAAATTCCCTAGACTTAAACCCCCTAACGTCTGAGCCGGAACTTCGGGTAACATCGGCTGGCATCCTGAAGACAAGCAAATTCGGTGGCTGCATAGATAAAAGATTAATGGGTGGCTGTCGGTTGACGGTTGTCCTCAGCACCGAACATCCTTCTACGTTGTTCACTGATGGACCAACCAGAACCCGAAACGCATGACAAATGTAGTGACGTCACTTGTCAGGAGTTGTTGGCCAGCGAGCCTATACATCCCAAACGGCGTCGCACAATTTGGAGCCGGACGAAGAAATTCGCCCGGCGCATGTTGTGCTGCGCCGTTTAGGGTTAGGTTAAAAGTACGTGAGCAAAAAAAAAAAAATGTTACAGTTGCATATACAGTTGTATATACAATTGAATAAGTTATACAGACAAAAGAATATATTTTTCTTGTTTAATAAAATTATTTAATACAAAGACAATTATCAAACTTTATTTATTTATATTAAAATTGATATTTAAATAGTTCCTAAATTAGGTTCTTAACAATCATATCTTATATTACTTAAAAATTAAAATATATCTTAAATAAAGTAAAAACTAATAAAAGTAAAAGTGAAGTGCTCGAGTTGATGGACTTCAAAGATAATCTTACTTACAAAATTGATATCACTACCTACATAAACTATTAATAGGTACACATTTACATACTATTTTTATTTATTCTTTCAACAATATCCTTAATTTCAGTTGGCCCCAGAAATAATATTATGGTCTCTGCGTAGTATGAATCCCACGGACTATGAGATTTATCGTTAGTCCATGATTGCAGCCCAGACCCTTGCTCACCAGATTGCCAGTAGGCAGGCCGTAGGCGCCTTGCAGGGCAGTCTATATTATTATAATTTGGAAATTAACAAATATTGGTGGGTTAGATATAGTGTTTTTATTTGTGGTCACTTCGGTAAGTATATTTTGATTTGAATGAAAGCCTACATAATATTTCAAATATTAATATTATATAAATAGGCCATAACATTTTAATTTAAAATTTAAAAATACACAGTAACTCTTGGTTTCAAATGAGAATAGCCCTTTGTCATTAATTGGATGACTTTTTTAAAAATGTTAATGTATCTAAATCGAAATATGAACGAGTACCTACCTAGGTTTTAACTTTTAAGTTGCTTAACTTTGTGAATGAAGAGCGAAGGTTAATATACATAATATACATTCATACCAAAAATAATAATCGATTTGGGAGATATGGGGAGTGGGGACTATGATGATTTGAACATATTAGTAGTTAGTTAATATTAATATCCATTAATATTTTATGACTTGTAAAATTTGTCTGAGTATAGTTAATATGGATACTATAAACAAAAATATACTAAATACCAGATCCAAATAGACAATATTACACAATATTTTTTTAGGACTTGATATTATTAGTATTAATTCAGAAACAACTCTTTTGTGTTTTAATTTAAATACTTATAGATACATCAACATCATTTTTAAAAACAAAATTGTCTGCATGCTTAACAGTTTACACTGTTTACAGTAAAAAAAGAGAGTTCTCAATTAAAAAGGTTATCCCTGAAAACGTTTTCACAACTATGTCAAACAATGAGAAAACCACGAAGTAATTCCTCATCAGGAACCAGACAACCAGTACTCGGCCCAGTAATCGGACGGCGAGTAAAATGAGCGAAGGAGTGAATAAAAACCGTTTCTATTGTTTCTAATAATATTATATAGGTACCTACTGTTTGTAATGGTCACTATTGTCGGTCTGTACTCTGTATGATGGGAAAGGAAATAATATTGTTTACATTGTACACAATTTGTGTGTACCGCTGGGACACAATTCATATGCAGTGAATAAAACTGAATATCATAATATAATATTGTTATTATTTATCGTTGGAGCCGCAATATCATATTATAAGTTTAAATCGTTGGATGGCATCGCGTAGGCCCGGGACGGACGTCCGCCTACCTGGGCTACCTAGGAATAAGAAACAACATCAACGACCTAAAGCAAATACGTTCGTTCCGTTTGAAAAATCGACGGTAGGTAGACCTCGACGTGTACAATAATAATATGTATTATAGAAATCGTTTTTTATAAATCAACAAGGGCGCGATCGGCTTCCTTTCATAACAATATTATCGACTCATGCAGCTCTACCCATAATATATTATATTATAATTTACACGATTTACGATCGCCGTTCGTCCGAGGGACCTGTTCCCATCATCATCGTGTATGCCCGCGTCACACTACAGCGATTTCTATTCCGTCCGGATGAATGAAACACGTTAGCTACGAACTAATACTAGTAATAGTACGAAGAATAAAAAATAGGTAATAAATAAGATAAAAAAACAAAAATAATTACTTCTACCTGCTTACAATACACATCGTGTATAGGTATATAAAATATAGCATTTTTCCTTGTACCTGTACTGTATAGTATATCTACTCAATATATAAGACCATATTTTCACATGTTTAAATTATTTTGTTGTTTTAATTAAGGGGAGTCGTTTAGGACTCTCAATTATTTTGGATAATTGTTTTGAACATTTAGATGTACTTAATCCAAAATACGAACAAGCCATTTCTCAAATATTAAAATGTTTATACTAAAAATAATAGTCTTAATAAATTGTTTTGTAAAAATATAAAGCAAATATAATATAATCTAGTGTTCTTGATCTAGTGTTTATTATACTTGGATCATTTTTCAAATTATAAATTTTGAGAGTGTAATATTAATTAATAAAATGTTCAAATCACCATTGCTCTCAATCTTCTAAACCCATCTGAAATACCATGATAGTACCTGCATAAATTTAAATAAACTTAAAAACTAATAGTTTGAAATTTTATTTTGATAAACGTCAACATTTTCAGAAAAATTTTCCAATAAATAATTTACAGCAGAAAAGGTAAGTTGTTGTCTTTGAAAAAGAAAAGTGTTTACCTATCTACACAGGATACTCCTTAAGTAACAAATAATTCAAATTTTCATCTTATTCAAGTACCTATATCTGTTTAAAAATTCCAAAAATCAGCTTTTGGAAAACTGAGTAATTAAAGTAAAATATGATCCAGTATGCTTAGTGAATCACTCAATACCTATATTTGCCTAAAATAACAATAGTCGATGAGAGTATGAGACGATGGCTATATTATGTATTGTTGAATACTAATATACTGAGTGATCCATTTAAACAACCACTCGTCTAATTTTGGAAATTAAATGCTGTATTTTTGATAATATTAGGTACATATTATAATGATGTTACACAAGTATTTAAGCCAGTAACCACTCTTATAGTTGTAGGTGTCGAGAGTATATCTCGTAATTGATGGGTCACTATAATTGTTGTGTTAAATTTAAATTCAATGATAAATCATTACCTGCTACATACGAAAAAAGATTTTGAAGGATGATGATCTACCAGTCTATATAATATGTTATACTAAGAATATTTTATTACATATTTATATTGGTATATATTAATTATTTATTCATAATTGGATATTATATTATTGATAATTTATTTACATAAAAAAAAAATAATCACTTCGAACAGAATCTAAAACTTAATTTTTTATAGGTATACTAATGTATATAGGTACCTAATACCTATAGTGTACAACTGTCAATTATTTAATATTGGTTCGATGACAAATAACAACTGATAATTTTTATATTTTTGTAGATTTCCCAATCAAAAACTGCAGCGTTGTACTTACTTTTCTAAAATTAATAGACATCGAATAGGTAATATTATAGTTTTTTTTTTTAAATTAAAAGTTGGTTTAAAGTTACCACAACTTCTATAGTGCAGGACAACTGAATCATGACCATAGGCGCCAGGTTTTAAAAAACTTTATATGGGTGTCTTGCCCGGCCTTGGTATCATGGGCATAAATGCACAATTTGGGGGATGGGGCTTAGCCCCTGGTCAATAACAATGTCCCCGTAAAATTAAAAAATGCATGAAATCGCCTTGGGGGCTAGTAACAATTTAACCTTTTAAAATTTTAATTTGGTTTTCCAAATTGCACCTATATTGGTGTCACGATCAAAATCGTGCTATCTTATATTTTCTTATCAATACAATTTTTTTTCGTTTACATTTTGAAATTTTAATTTTTATCACAGCTAGAATTTTATTGCAATAGTCGTTCGCTAAAATTGTTGAAACTTAGATATGTTTGGATATTAATACTCGTTATAATTTATAATAACTTATAAATATCCAATATTCTAATGCAGAGGTTCCCAAACTGTGGGTCGCGACCCAAAAGTGGGTCGCGATTATACTTTTGGTGGGTCGCACTATTTTTTTAAATAATACAAAAATATAATCATCTATTACTTTTCGTATTATACTTATTATACATTTTTTTCGTAATTACATAAAATGTAATAAAATAGTTTAATTTTCTGTTGTATGGTAAAAAAAAAAAGGTCATTCATT